ACCATTAGTTACATGGCACATGACAGCAAAACTCAAGAATAATTAAATATAAATTAGTTAGACAAAACAAGGTAATCTCTGATAGATCTAATTCTTACATCAACATGCTTCAGACAAAAGTTTGACTGTATAAAAAACAGTTTCTTTCACTTCTTTGCCAGTTTTTGTTTTTTTTTTTATTACAGTCATTACTATTGACATCAAAAGCACATTTAACAAGTAAAGATCCAAAATTGATGAGTGTTTAATTTCATAGTTCATGCAAAATCAATGATTCTTGATGGTCAACTAGTAGTTGTTATAAATCAAGACTTCCACTCAGAAAAAAAAAACTATCCCACTCAAGAATAACTTTCCCTGTATCAAACACTGGTAGGTCCATGAGTCTCTTTCACTAGTGACCGTGATTAGTGATAATCAAACTAACTTTATGAACCCACAAATCTAAAAAAGCAAAACACAAACCTAGATTTAGACCAAATTTTCAATTTTGTTCTAAAGTTTCAGAATTTGATATTTTACCTTGGATCCCAAAATCACAGCACCGTGTTCGAGGAAGAGCGTGAGATTGCTGGTGAGGTTGAAGCTTCCGGTGAGCCACGTGCCCTTTGGTACATTCAACTGGGCCCCACCCACGGCGGAAAAGCCTCGTATGTGTTGTACGGCGCGGCGGAAAGCCGCCGTGTTCGACGTTTTTCCGTCGCCGACTCCGCCGTAATCCGTTATCGACATGACGATCCGGTTCGGTGACGGGTCTCGGTTGAAAAACCCGGAGCATGTAACCGGGTCGTCGTGTTCACGGGTCGTGGTGGTGGTAGGGATCCAGAGATAGGAATTGGAAGAGATTTGGTGAGCGAGAATCGCTAAAACGGTGAAAAGAAGGAGAAAAATTGCCCATGAAGGTCTTGTAAAGGCACTGAAAACTGTAGGCTTCTCCGATTCCATTGAAGGATTTTATTATATTCAGAAGAAAATCAAAAGCCAAGAATTTAAGAAAAAAACAGAGAGAGAGAGAAGGTTAGATTAGATAATTGCAAACAGAAGAATACTAAAAGGGAACTTTTTGGTGGGTTTCGAGAGAAAGAAGAAGAAGAGAGAATTGTTGCATGTGTGTGCAAATGATTAGTGTGGTGATGACAAGGAAGGTGGTGGAAGAAAGAAAGATACCTTACCTCTCTAATTCTAAAATTCGACACT